CCCCACTCCACCTGATGTCGAGGGTAAATGGGCGAGGTTTAAGACTGTGACTCATGCAGCTGCAATGGCTGCTTTGGGTACGCGGTCCAGACCTCCCCAGAAACCCTGGCTGACAGAGGAGGTGTTCAGGTTAATTGAGAAAACGCGACAGGCCCACTCTCATCGGCTACAACATCCCACGTCAGAGAATGAGGAGGTTTACCGCAGTCTTCGCTCGGAGGTTCGGAGAGCCGTAAGGCGCTGCAAGGATGGGTGGTGGTCGCGGGTTGCTGAGGATATGGAATCTGCCTCAGTGGCCCGCGATCACAAATCACTATTTAACTCCATCAAAAAAGTAACCTGCAGCGCCACACCTATTACCATCATTAGGGGAAAAAACGGTGATCCAATCTCCGACCCCCAGGAACAGGTTTGCAGATTTGCTGAGCATTTCTGTGAGGTCCTGGGGGAGGGAAAATCTCTCAGCCAGGAAAACATCATGGCACAAAGTGGGGAAAACCCTGCTGAGGCTGCGGTACCTCAAATATTGGAGGAGGTCACCCCCTGTGAGTGGCTGCCTGAGGTGCAATCTGTTGAGGAAGTACTGAAGGCGATCCGGAGTCTGAGACCAGGAAAGGCACCGGGCAGAGATGATCTCCCAAGCGAAATACTGAGGGAGGGTGGCGCTTGTGCACAGACTGCCGTATATGACATCATAACAACAGTCTGGACCGCTGGACGGGTACCGCAGGATTGGAAGGATGCCCTGGTGGTCCCCTCTCTTTAAGAAGGGGGACCGCACAGACTGTAACAACTACAGGGGCATCTCACTCCTCAGTGTGCCGGGAAAGGTCCTGGCAAGGTTTATTCAACATCGCCTTGCTAGGCACGCTGAGGAGAGGCTTGCGGAACCCCAATGCGGTTTCAGGAAAGGGCGGTCCTGTACAGATGCCATATTTTCTGTCCGTCTGCTACAGCAGAGGTGTAGGGAATTCCAACAAGACCTACATCTCTGCTTTATTGACCTGGTCAAGGCCTATGATACCATCAGTAGGCCTGGGCTCTGGGTTGTTCTTCGTGCTTTCGGAGTCCCTGACCCTCTGCTTACGATCATTAAGGACCTTCATGATGGTGAGCGGGCCCGGGTAAAACTACGTGGCCGGGAGTCGAAGCCTTTCCCTGTACACCTTGGGGTGCGACAGGGATGTCCTCTGGCTCCCACATTATTTAACATCTATTTCGACTGCGTAGTTCGTGAAGCCTTCAATAGCTGTACCGGGGGAATTTCCATTTGGTACAGATAAAATGGGGGGCTGATCGACGCCCGGGTGCGATCAAGGGATGGCTCCCTATTGGTCAACCACGTTATGTATGCCGATAATTTGGTAATAGCTGCTCATTCAGAAGAGGAGTTGGAGACGCTGCTGCTGAGACTGGAGCGTGCCACTAAGAGGTGGGGCCTTACCATCAGCCCCACCAAAACTAAGCACCTGCCTGGGTATTTTGTACCATCGGGCACTCCACCCCCACAACTCCCAATCGGTGATGGGGCAGTTGTGGAGAGAGTGGAGAGTTTCCCATACCTGGGCAGTGTGCTTATGACCGGCTCCAGTTTATCAGCAGAGGTCTCACTCCGAATCAGTCGAGCGGCAATATCTTTTCATCGGTTGCGTAACGCTGTGTGGAAGCTACCTGGTCTGTCGCTCCACACGAAGCTTCAGGTCTTCTCGGCCACGGTCATTCCCTCCCTTCTCTACGCTTGCAAAACGTGGACCCCCCTAATGGAGCATCTTCGTTGGTTGGAAACATTTAGGCTGGCCTGCCTACGATCCATCCTGGGTTTAACCCGGCTGGATTGTGTGAGGAGCTCACAAATCCTTGAAAGATCTGGGCAAAGTCCCATCGCTGAGCTCCTCCGGCAGGCAAGGCTGCGTTGGCTGGGTTATGTAGCCCGCATGCCCAGCTACCGCATGCCTAAACAGCTTTTGTTCGGCCGGATCGAGGGGGCTAAACGGGCGCGGCACGGGCTAGAGAAGAGATGGAGTGATGTGGTACAGGAGGACGTGGAGCTGAGTGGACTTGCCGATGACTGGTACCAGCGGTGTCAAGATCGGCCTCAGTGGAGGAGGCTCGTGAAGGACGCTACTGGGCAGTTGGAGGCAGTCGCCCTCCAACAACAACGGAGGGCGGAGGAGCGACGCTCACAACAACGAGTGGAGCGCCGGGTGGCTAAAGCACAGCAAGTTGGTACAGTAGGGGGCACAGGTGGTGCATCAGCCAGTCATCTCGGTCATCTCGGTCAGTCGACACGTGGCACCTGCTGGGTCTGCCCCGTGACCTCCTGCCAGCGGGCGTTCGACACTTCACGTGGCCTCAAGGTGCACATGGCCTGGCACAAGCGTCGTGGTGACGTCACCGCCACTTAGTGGCGAATGGCGGTTGTTGTTGTTGTGTGTGTGTCTCAGTCCATAGGCATGTGTGTTAGTCAGTGTAAGTTCGTTTATTTGCGTGTCTGTAGGTCCATGTGTGCGTCTTAGTCCATGCGTGTGCTTTATTGACCTGCTCAAGGCCTATGATACCATCAGTAGGCCTGGCCTCTGGGCTGTTCTTCGTGCTTTCCGAGTCCCTCACCCACTGCTCACCATCCCTAAGGACCTTCATGATGGTGAGCGGCCCCGCATCAAACTACGTGGCCGTGAGTCAGAGCCATTCCCTGTACACCTTGGGGTGCAACAGGGATGTCCTCTGGCTCCCAAATTATTTTACATATATTAGGACCACGTACTTCGTGAAGCCTTCAATGGCTGTACCGGAAGAATTCCCATCTGCTACAAATACAATGGGAGGCTGATCGATGCCCGAGTGCGGTCAAGGGATGGCTCCCTATTGCTCAACCACGTTATGTATGCCGATGATCTGCTAATTGCTGCTCACTCGGAGGAGGAGTTCGAGGTACCGCTGCTGAATCTGGAGCTGGCCACCAAGAGGTGAGGCCTTAACATCAGCCCCACCATAACTAAGCAACTGCCTGGGTCTTTTGTACCATCGGACACTCCACCCCCACAACTCCCAATTGCTGATGGGCCAGTTTTGGAGACAGTGGAGAGTTTCCCATACCTTGACAGTGTGCTAATGACCAGCTCCGGTTTAACAGCAGAGGTCTCACTCCAAATCAGTCGAGCCGCATTCTCTTTTCATCGGTTGCGTAACACTGTGTGGAAGCTACCTGGCCTATCACTCCGCACAGAGCTTCAGGTCTTCTCGGCCACGCTCATTCCCTCCCTTCTCTACGCTTCTGAAACTTGGACCCCCCTAATGGCTCATCTTCGCCGGTTAGAAACATTTAGGTTGGCCTGCCTACCATCCATCCTGGGTTTAACCAGGCTGCATTGTGTGAGGAGCTCACAAATCCTTGAAAGATGTGCACAAAGTCCCATCGCTGAGCTCCTCCGGCAGGCAAGGCTGCGTTGCCTGAGTCATGTAGCCCGCATGCCCAGCCACCACATGCCTAAACAGCTTTTGTTCGGCCGGATCGAGGGGGCTAAACGGCCGTGGCACGGGCTGGAGAAGAGATGGAGTTATGTGGTACAGGAGGACGTGGAGCTGAGTGGACTTGCCGATTACTGGTTCCCGCCGTGTCAAGATCGGCCTCTGTGGAGGAGGCTCCTGATGGACGCTACTGGGCAGTTGGAGGCAATCGCCCTTCAACAACAATGGAGGGTGGAGGAGCGACGCTCACAACAACGAGCGGAGCGCTGGGTGGCTAATGCACAGCAAGTTGCCACAGTAGGGGCCACAGGTGGTGCATCAGCCAGTCGTCTCAGTCAGTCCACCTGTGCCATCTGGGTTTGCCCCGTGACCTCCTGCCAGTGGGTGTTCGACACTTCACGTGGCCTCAAAGTGCACATAGCCTGGCACAAGCGTTGTGGTGATGTCACCGCCACTTAGTGGCGAATGGCGATTGTTGTTGTTCAGTCTATGTATGTATGTATGTGCGAGTGCATTTGTGTGCGTAACTCGATGTGTGTGTGTGTGAGTCCATTTGTGTGTGTAACTACATGTGTGTCTGCCTTTTTCGCCCAGGCAACGCCGGGTACTTACCGCTAGAAGTCTATATAACCTCGTGCCACCGCAGCTCTCTGGCCTTCTTCAGCAGTTGTTACTTGCTGTAGTTTTCCCACCTGTTGACGATTGCTTGTATTGCGATTGAAACGTCGCGATTTGTTTTATTTTATTTTTAACTACGTGACTTTACCGAAAGAACCAAAGAGTATGTTTAAATATACGCATTTATATAAAAAATATATAATGATATAAAATATATAAAAATATCAACATATTTATACTTTTTTATATAAAACTATGAATATATTTGGAAAGATTTATATATAAATCAATATTTATACATACTCTTTGGTTCTTTCGGTAAAGTCACATAGATGAAAAAATAATTGATCACGACGTTTCAATCGCAACACAAGCAGTCGTCATCATGTGGGACAACCACAGCAAGAAAAAAACTGCTGAAGTAGGCGAGATATCTGCCGTGGCACGAGATTATATAGGACTCAACAGTAGGGGGGGTGGGGGGGGTAGGGAGGTGGGACCGAAAGTGGACCCCGCAGCAGCACCCGGGTCACTGGAGTGAAGTGGAAAGGCTCTCATAGGTTCATTAGCTCTTTCTCTCCCCCGGCCGCTTCGGCGTGGATTTCCACACATCTCTCTGTGTCTCAGTTTGTCAAATTTTCACACTTAAATTTTAGCAATCTTTGAAGATCGTAATCAATCAGGCTATGCGTGAATTGTGTGTTAGCCGACTCTCACAGCAGACCCACCCCTCTCTCTGCCCAACCTCCCCCCCCATCTCTATATTTATGGACTAGACACAGAGGCATTGGGACTCTGTGTCTATGTTGTGTGGTTATCTCTGCTTGTGTGTCTGTGTGTCTCTGTGTCTGTGTTTTCTCTTTCTCTCAAATTTAGTTCTACCTGATGGTTGCTTGTGTTGCAATCGAAACGTCGTATTCTATCATTGAATATATTTTCTTTTTATTTGACTTTTCCAAAATAACCAAAGAGTGCATTGTTGTTTGTGTTCTGTATTTTTATTCTAGAATCGACGATACAAGCGTTACGATGCCACTGGCGTACGCATACATTTATACTTTTTAAAATTAATATTATTGTTGTTGTATCTCTTACACAACCCATCACACCACCGGTGTATAAACACATCCCAGTTCACCATTGCTACTCACTGCACCCCTACACTACAGTCACACTCCTCTGGCAGGGTGAATGCATCCACGTTGGCTTCACACACAGTGCGGTAATTATTTTATCACCCTCCCCCACCCCTATGAAGGTTGTGAGGATGATTTACGCTCAGCCTCACCGTTGCGATGGAGAGCCACACAGCCCCTAGCCACCGACAGCCACCAGCCAGCCAAGGGCGTGGCACTGCGCGTGATGGCGACGAGGATGGCGAGCGCCATGTGTCGTGGTGTCTGCCCTCTGCGCTGTTCACGTTCACCTCTCTCAGGATGCACCACTCAGATCCACAATCCTCACCGAGTCACCAACTTTAACCCATCCCACCCACAGCCCAGGATGTAGGGGCTGAGTGAAGGTTTGGTGAAATGAGTGCAACGGCACCATGGAGTCAGTGCTGTAAAACGACAGCAGCCCCGCGTCCCAGTCCAGATGAACCCCGACTCTTCGCGGAGACTTCAGCTCCGATAGTGAGGTCTCTACCTTGCCATGCAGCACTGAGAATCTGTCACCAACTTTCTGTAGACACCAGGATACGTCACTCACTCCCGGGAGGCACTCATTACCACTCCCTCTCCGTGGGATCGTCCCGTACGCGACTCCAATCCGACACAGCCTCGCGCTTCCCACGTCCACCTCCCAGTAGTGCTGACCCGATGAGAAGCTCTCAGAGCACAGGGCTTGGTCCCAGAGACCAAAGCGGTGTGGGTGATGGGGGCGACCCTGGGGGACACGTCTCACTGTCACCATCCTGAGATCCGAGGAAATACGGAGGCAGTCGTGGGCTGAGTTTGTGTCCAGAGTTGGCGAACGTCCATCTGTGGTGAAGACAGCGATGACGCCTGCACTGCGGTCACGGCGGCGCGTGCGCAGTGGAGGCATGAACAGTGCACGTGGCGTGTACACACACACGCTGGTGTTGTGTTGTCTGTTGTGTTGTTGCTGCGCTGCAGCAGACATCGCGGCTACTCTCGCCATTTTCGCCTGAAGACGAACGCTTGTGTTGTGTTCGAAACGTCTTGATTTTTTCTATTTTAATAATATCAACGTGACTTTACCGAAAGAACCAATGAGTACTACATTAATATGACCATGGGCGTGTGTGCAGTGGTAGTGAACAGTGGTGTTGATGCCAGCACCACGATGTTAATGCCACTCTCGCAGCGTCTCTCAACAAACACAACGCCTGTACAATAGCTACCACAGCCTCGCAAAATCACATCCACGCACAGATATTGTGTCACTCCGCTGCTAAATGAGCACCTCCGTGCCGTGCACGTCCTAAGGGTGGTTATTTGACCATAATTCACCGCTCTCGTCGGTGCGCGTTGGCGATGGTGGGGTTCATGAACGTAGAAGCTTAGAGGTACAGTACAACAATGGTTCACGCTGCACTGCCCTCTGCTGGTGTGATGTATAAACATTCGGCACGAGGGAGACAAAGGCGGCCGGGCGTGGTGCTGGCCAGCCACCCCCTCGTGTGCCATGCCGGCTTTCATAGGTGCTGCTGCTCGCTGACTATATATACAGTGTTTCACTCTGTGTCCCTGTGCCTGTATTTATCACTGAACTTACTCTCGATCCACTAGATGTTAACTACTTCGCCTGGTATGCAGGTGGTCATAGGTTCGATCCCAACCCTGATGTCTGCTGTATATTTGGAGTTTGCATCTCTCTCTCTCTCCTCGTGGACACGTCGATATTTTTCCAGGTCCTCCGATTTTTCCCTCAACATTTATTATCGACATCAAGCATTTAGAGTAATTTGCTGCAATACATTTCTGCAAAATAAGCCACTTTGATAATTGTTTTTTTATCCGTCTATCTGGCAACAAAACTGACACCTTTTTTACAAGGAGTCATGTTTGCATAAACCACAATACCTGCAGCCATAATGCAAACAAAAAACATAACTCTGATAATATATGCACTGTCCTTGAAGTTTTCCTTAGAGCCTAGTCTCACATGGGTTGGACCAGATGACGCCAAAAGGCGCACAACTCAAAGACAATGCACCATCAGAGTATGAGAGCTCGGGTAAGCATTTACACCATTGGAACCTCATTTGCCAGTAAAAAATATAATAATTGTTTTTTTACCCTTCTATCTGGCAACAAAACTGACAACTCAAAGTTGTGCGCCTTTTGGCGTCATCTGGTCCAACCCATGTGAGACTAGGCTCTAAGGAAAGCTGTCTCGGGTGTGGACCAATCAACTTCAAGGACAGTGCATATATTATCAGAGTTATGTTTTTTGTATGCATTATGGCTGCAGGTTTTGTGTTCTATGCAAACATGACTCCTTGTAAAAAAGGTGTCAGTTTTGTTGCCAGATAGAAGGGTAAAAAACCAATTATCATGTTTATTACTGGCAAATGAGGTTCTAATAAGCCACTTTGTTGAGTTATAATTTCTGGCAAGGTTACTTCTGAAGCAGAGCTATATAGCTCAGTGGGTCTTACCTGGTAAGGTAATTGTTTATGTAATAGTTTATACTCACAGCCTTGGTTAATCAGAGGGTTTATCTACAACCAGCAGAGGCACACCAGTTTTCCGCTCCACATTTAGACTCAACGTCTAGCGTTCAGATCATTTGGCTGCAATATAAATGTACACGTGATAATCCACTTTGTTGAGCGGTCATTTGTGGTCAGTTCATGTCTGAAAAAGAGCCACATAGCTCAGTGGACCATATCTGGTAAAATAAAAATGTTTTAAAGATACACGCCCCAAGGACACGCCACCTGTCTGAAACAAATTTCAGCAGCCTACCAAGCGATGCCGGTTTGCATCGTTGTGTTTGTAATGAACGATGTTGACAGAGATTAGTGCAGAGTGCAGAGAAAGAGAGACTCACACACTAGAGCCACGCGCATCGTATTCACTCCTCGCGAGATGACCTCTGTGAGCTCTTGGTGACTGAATGTGGCAGGAGGAGGCGCATCCTGGATCCCCTGCGAGTCCAAGCTCCTGCACTCAGCACGGGACACGCAGAGTTTATGGAGGGTGCAGTCCCTCCATTCACAGCATAGGACACACATAGTCTAATGTGGGTCCATGTCTCTCTGCACACGGACAATATGGGATACAACTTCATACAATTGGGTTTATTATTAATCACATTTTTATTTTATTTCATTACTGACAAAACCAAGAATAAGTCTACATTATAGACTGCCAGTACGCCCACTCAGGTTAAGAACCAGGCTACAGTCTACATTAGTGGTTTTAGTTTTTGTATTAGTTATTATTTTTACTATTTTGTTTTTATTAACTTTATTTATTATAATTTTTCTATCTACGTAACTTTATCGAATTAACCAAAGAATACACATCATGATCGTTCACTAATTTGTCCACCAGGTGGCAGACAGAGTTCGAGTTTGAGTCTGGGTTGGTACTGACCTGAGACTCTCATGCAGGGGATCCTGAAAAACACAAACACGCATTTCACATTAACATTGACATCTTAAACAGATGCCCCACCTCCACACAGTCACCTGCCACTTACAGTGGAGCGCAACAGCAGATAATTAATACATACCTGTAAACGGAGAATTGTGAAAAACAGAGTTATCATTGGGACCTAATTGCCAATATCGATATGATGAAAAAATTAAGAAGAGGCTTAATCCTTTTTGGCAATTAAAATAGGAGGTGTTAAGATGTTCAAACACCAAACAGATACTTATTGCAAGCCATCACTGTTTAACCAGGGCTGTTAATACATTGATACTTGCATTGCCTTTGTACTGTTAAGCCTATTCTATTTATATTATTTGGTTCTTTCGGTAAAGACACGTAGATAGAAATAATAAAAATAAAAACACGACATTTTGATCGCAATACAAGCGGTCATCATCAGGGCAAAGGGGTTAGCCTCTAAAGGCAAACTGTTTACTAAGGTCTTCTTGGTTCTTTCGGTAAAGTCACGTAGAAGGGAAATAATAAAATAATAAAAATTAAACATAATAAAATAAAATTTTCACGACGTTTCGGCCACAACACAAGCAGCCGTCCTCAGGTGAAGAACAGAGCTGTCGTTTATACCCTGTAGTTTATACCCAGTTACTTAATGTTAATAGCTCAGCTTATTGGAGATTATATTGAACACATTGATTATATGGATGTAGTTTGTATTTAGTTTTTTCACATTGGTTTATTGTATGGTAGTTGGGTAGTTGCAGTTCTTTAGCGTCAATTTGCTAAATTCCTCTGTTGATATGTAAACTCGTTTGTCAAGGCACTCTGCTCCTCCCACCCAGCTTAAATATACGCTGCCAATCTTAGCAGTGTTCAAATCGACGCTGTTTTTCAGACAGCTCTGTTCTTCACCTGAGGACGGCTGCTTGTATTGCGGCCGAAACGTCGAGAGAATTTTATTTTATTATGTTTTATTTTTATTATTTTATTATTTCCCTTCTAAGTGACTTTACCGAAAGAACCAATTAGATGAATCCCTGCAGTCACGCAAGCTTTAAATCAAATGTTTATGAAGGTTTAAAATGGGCGTAGCCCAAGTGTCAGCAGCATGGGCGGGGCAGCTATAATTAATGTAAGTGATGGTCAACAACGGCGCTGGTGGTGGGTTTCCACCAATTAAAGGGATGCCAGGTAAAAATTTGCCTTTTAATGTAAGATTGGAGAGCTGCATACACGGCGAGAGTGTTGAGGTGGCTATGTTAATGTGAGAGATTAGTATGTTAATGAAAAATCTGAGAACCGAAAATAACAACTAACATCAAAAGGTAGCAGGATTGGAACATCACAGCCAGTTAAGACTTAAACTGGTTGATCACGTCCTTCTAATGATTGCTAAATTTGTACCCATCCTCTCGGTTGAAATTGTGTCTTTGTCTGTATATTTGGATGGCTTCATGAACGAATCTTTGTTGATGATCAGTGGGTTTGCAAAGTACCTTCGTCTTAGAGAAATCAATTTCGTGTGAGCCCACCACATTGAAACAATGATCAGCCACAGCAGAGGCATTTGTCCCTCCGTGTTTCAGATCGGCCTTATGTTTACAGACAAGCTTAGTTTGTGGAAGCCGGTATATTGCATGTCAGGGATCTTGTCCGTCACAGATGGGATCAGATTACGAATTTTATGTACTGTGTGACATCGGACCTGGATCTTGTATTTGTTCAAGATTTTGGAAATATTTTTGGTTACCCCTGCTATATAAGGCAAGGTGATGGTTTTGATTGAATCCTCAGATGGCTCCTTCCTCACGGTTGGGGTGATGGCTTTGCAGATTGTGTAGTCAGAATATCCATTCACCTTGAGAGCTTTGTGTATGTGTTAGAGTTCACTGGATAGGTGTTCACGGTTAGAGAAGCATTGAGCTCTATGGTGTAGAGTTTTCATGAGGGAATTCTTCTGGAATGGATGGTGTTGGGAATCAAGTTCTAGGTAGGCATCAGTATGGGTGGCTTTCCTGTAGACTACAATGGCTCATTGAGCCATCTGGTCTTTTTTTGATTAGGATATCCAAGAATGGTATCTTGCCATAATTTTCTACCTCCTTCGTGAATTTGATGGCTGGGTGTATGGAATTGATGTGGTTGAGGAATTGGTTCAGAACTGGTCGGCCATGTGGCCAGATGACAAACATGTCATCCACGTACCTCTTCCACAAGGATGGGCGTAGAGTGTATGCCTAATTTTTTTAAAAATCAAACACAGGGTGCGTTTAACTGGACACGGACTGATGACGATTGCTTGTGTTGCGATCGAAACGTCGTGATATTTTTATTATTTTTTCTATCTACTTGGTTTTACCGAAAGACCCAAAGAATATGAGAAAACCACTCTTTGCAGCTGAAAAAATAATGTTCAACAACTCTTTTTTTGAACTCTGAATAAACAACGTAAGGCCCACTTAGCTATGTCACACTTTTTCAATAGCGAGCTGGCTATCACAAATGATAGCTCAATGAACTGGCTTATGTGGTCATTTATAATAGCAGCCAAATACTCTGAATTCGTGATGTTGATTCTAAATGTGGAGTGAAATACCAGATGAACTGGAAAAAAATTTACACGATCACAGAGAGAGACGTAGACTCCAAATTTACAGCAGGCATCGTCAGGGTTGGGGTCAAACCCACGACCTCCTGCATACCAGGCGAGGTAAATGGCGATGTTGTACTGGACAAGTCCAGGTCTGAATGTCACACGGAAGCAAACGCGCGTCTCTTTTTGGACACTGCCGCTTACTCCCAGATCGAAAACCAATTAAATAAAATTGCCAACAATGTCAACGTCTCACAGGGCGGTTTGCCTCTGCTGGTCGTAGATAAACACTTTAATAAACCAAGGCTGTGAGTATAAACTATTATAAACATATTTTGTATACCTTACCAAGTAAGGCCCACTGAGCAACATAGCTATGTTTCAGAAGTAACCTTGCCGGAAAATTTTACTCAACGAAGTGGCTTATCACGTGGAAATGTATAGCAGCAAATTCTAAATGATAATAGGTTTTTCATTTTTTTCTGGCAACAAAACAGGTGTTAAGATGTTAAAACGCCAAGCTGAAACCTTTTACAAGGAATTATGTCTGCATTAACTACAATCCTTGTGGTCAGAATGCAAACAAAAAGCATACTCTGATAATATATGCATTGTCTGTGAAACTGATTGGTCCACACCAGATTCAGCTTTCTTTTGAGCCTCGTCTCAAACAGTGTTAGACCAGAGGATGCCAAAAGGTGTACAGCCAAAAGACAATGCACTGTCAGAGTAATGAGAGCTGGGATGAGCATCTACATCATGGGACCTCCTTTTCCAGTACCAAAATATGATAATAGGTTTTAACCCCTTTTTCCTGGCAACAAAACAGGTGCTAAGCTGTTAAAACACCAAACTGAAACTTCTTACAAGGAATCATGTCTGCATTAACCACAATGCTTGTGGTCATAATGCAAGCAAAAAACATACTCTGATAATATATGTGTAGTGGGTTAAATAACTAGAGGAGAGTTCTCTGAGGCAACACGTAATTTATTTAACAATAACTTCTTAACACAAAGGGGTAACGGCGCCTTACACCCCACTAAGGAGGTATCCCCTCTGGACTAATACGCCTCTCACTGGCTAACCTACACCCTTCTTGAGTGAAGCTTGGGTCTTCAATGGTATAAGCTTGAGCCGACCCTAGCCAACGGTACTGCTCTGCCCATTGGGATCTTCTTTTCAGGAGGCTCTTCGATGTTTGGGTGAACGAAGACTTCCGGGACCGTTCAGAGGTTCGGCTTTTATACAGAGCTGTGACTTGCTCCACCGTGGCCACACATTCCTTCTTGAACCTTCCAACAGGACCTGGGGGTGGTGTCATCCCCAGCCCCCTCCTGGGGTCTGCATGCCATTCAATAGGGGTTACCGTTGGCCCCTGTGGGCCATCGTCCCTTATCACTGGGGCTCAGCCCCTATTCTGCCCCCTATTGGTACATGACCGGTACTACTGGCTAACTGCATGGTGTTGGCACATCCTCGCCCAATAATACCTTAACATCACCCACCCCCCTCGTAGCACTCAGCCGTCCCGGCTGTCAACTATCCCCTTAATAAAGTTTTATAACAACAAAATCGGAACGCATGTGCCTCTACAATAACAAAATTAACAACAACGAAGAACCCAACATAAATACCCCAGCCCACCTGGAAAATATACATTATGCACATATACACAATCGCGAGCGGCCATACACTCAACCCATCACAACACACCAACCATGGCAAAAACGATGCATGCGACCCACGGAGATGAAACAGGTGACGTTCACCGACCGAGGTGAACCGGCGGTCATCAAGGTAAGTGGTCGGTGCAGCGCGTGTGTGGGTGTGTGGGGTGAAAAGGTCACGACAAACGCATGGTTTTTGTGAGCGTTTGCGTAGCCGGTCCGTCGTAAGGGACAGGGTGGTGTGGCGTAGGAGTGGACGCGACCGTCTCATCTGTAGGTAAAGTTGGCAGCCCGGTTGCGTGTTCAACATTAGGAGTGGGTGGCATGGATGGGCACTGAGCCATCACTCCTGCACTATCTGGGGCCGGAACATCATGACTTTGGTGAGATTCAGGTGCTACGGAAGCATTCCCAGGGTTGTCGGGCACATCACATGGTTGGCCCCCATGGTGTGTAAGTGATGTGGGAGTATGCGGCGCGACAAAGGGTTTAAGGCGCGAGAGGTGGATGAACCAGCAACGTCTGCCCCATCTGACCTTGTCACACTGGGGGTGGACGACTTGGACAAATTCAACTGGGCCCCTCCAGGGCCTGAGCAACTTAGGCGATGTCGCCAAGGGCACCTGGGGATAATGGAGCCAGGCATTGTCCCCCTTGACCTATACATGCATGTTCAACCGGAGGGCATGTGACCTCTCATTGGCCCTCTGGCGAGAGTCCAAATTTTCAATAGCGGCCTCCC